TGTGACTTTTAAAAACTTACATCACAGGGCCCCAAAACTTTGCAAGCAAATTTTCTAAATTCAAAACTATGCATATGCAGTTCTTTTATATTTGGAAAGACAGTTTCTTTACTTTTTGATAAATTGGCTTGGGGATGGGAGACGTCCAATCTTCATTTAAAAGCCCTTCCGGGACAAAGTGCGTGGTTTTGCGTATCTTTTGTCCAACAGGCATTTTCAACATGGTGTCTTAAGATATGGCCCATTTTTATTTAGCAAAGGTTGTGCTCATTTGGAGCTTCGAACGTGACAGCCCAAACTCTGTGCCTGTCTTCAGTGAAAATGAAAGCTGAATCAACCAGGCCCTCACAAATACCTCAACAAAAGAGCCAAACAAAACCCAAGTACCAGGAAGGTTGACAAGAAGATGTGGACAGCTGAGATTTGAAGAGTATTTAATCGCCATTAATTCTTTCCTCACCGTGCACTTCCTTCCTTCACTTCCAAACAGCAAAAGCAAATACTGTGAATTGTCTGGTTGTAGCTTCCGCAAACCTTTTGTGGAAAGAATAATATGTTACCTTTTGCCATGATGTTTGTTTTAGTAGCAAGACTGTGAATGTCTTTAGAATCTAATAAAGCTGAAATCCAAACGAAAATCAGAAGGAAGAGTGAGAATACTGTTAGCTGACTCGGACTTACGTTCCACCTCTTTCTCAGAACCTGTGAAATGTCGACTACTGTAATGTGATAATTTTTCACCTCTTCTCTTTTCTTCCTCTCAGGCACCAAATGGTCTCCCAGCTGTGAGCAGCTTCGTGTCAGCCTCCAGCATGGCTCCCTACCCTACTCCGGCCCAAGTGTCGCCTTACATGACCTACAGCGCCGCTCCTTCTGGTTACGTTGCTGGACATGGGTGGCAACATGCCGGCGGCACCCCGCTGTCCCCCCACAACTGTGACATTCCCGCGTCGCTGGCATTCAAGGGAATGCAGGCAGCCAGAGAAGGTAGTCATTCTGTCACCGCTTCCGCGCTCTGATGGGAAATTCCGTCTCCGGCAGCTTCACCCGGGTCTTCCCCTCTCAACACATCCTCCTCCCCCCGTTCCCAGGTCTCAGCCCACCCCTCCTGCCCGCCAGCCCTCCTGCCTCAAAAACTGGCTGTGCGGACTCACATCCTTTTGTGCTGATGACACTAACATATTTCTTGCCACAGCTTTTCTCTCGCAGAAAAACTGACATGACTTTAGGATTTAAAAACAAAAAGCAACGTTAAGGATTGAATGAGACATTTGTGTTGCGCACACTGTCTCAACATAGCGAAGAAACCTACACCCCTCAAAGGGCTTAAGGAACTTTTAAAACTAGTCTTTGGTTAAACCACACGTGTATATTTATTCTAAATCAACCCGAACTTTTGAAACGTGCAATTGTTGAGATTTTGAAAAATCAATAAAGGAAAATACATATAGAAAAAACTTATGCTACACCCTCTAATCAAATATGGTAACCAAGTAAGCCTTAATTCATCATTAGGAAACCAATCAATAATTGACTTGTTTGAGTGATCCTTTATTTTTAAGAGATGACCTATTTTGTTGAAAAATATGTGTAGAACCCAAGTAATATCTGAATTTAGCTCCTTCTGGCGTTTTGACTTGGTTCCAAATACAATAATGTTTATATTTTCTATCACTTTGTAAATATGGACTCTGGATGGTGCATTTGTGTCTTCATTCCATAAGATATCCCCCTCCCCCCAGCCCTACCCCTCTCTATTTTTTCTTTCTTTTTTGCAAAGGTGACTTTCTGGCAACGTCTTTGTCTCTGGTGGTGGGCTGCTCTGGCTCCTGGACCTGGACTTGCCCCCAGATTTTGTGTGGGCAGTGAAAGCTTCAACATCTCATGAAGGACACTTTTTTTTCCCCTGCAGCAAAGGACACACACACACAAAAACAGATAAAAACAAGCCAGTCTCTCGTTTTGTCTCCTAATCAAACAACATACATGCCAAGCATAAAAGGCAAGAGGGTGAAAAATATCTGAACAAGAAGGCTCTAAAGGAAGTCACTTAGAAACTTAAGTTTAATGTGAAATGTTTTGCAAAGACACTTAAAATGAACTTTATGTTAAGAAAACCACTGTGAAACTAAATTGTACTGTTATTGTTGGCTTACCTGTGTGTTCAGCAATCTCAGCCCAACATTATGTTGTAATTTAAAGAAAATGGAAAATTCTGCTCTAATGAATGTAACAATGGCTTGCTGTGAAGTTTACATTGTTGTACAGAAGCATGTTTCACATGTAGGTAAACTGGTGGTGGTATTAGAAATACAAATACTATTTAATTTTAACACATTTCTTTCATTCATTTCTGAGATTACAGGACACAGTTTAACTGATAAGCCTTTCTAGACCAATTTTTGTTTCCACTTTAATGTTAATAATAGAGCTGTGGGGTATATCTGTGTGTGAGCGTGTGATTATGTGTTGTATTGTAAACAATTGATTTTCTTGGGCAAAATTTTACCATTTTTATCCCTTCTATTTAGGAAGTTCTTTCCGCTTGGCAATATAGGCTTAAAATTTTTTTTTAGAACATTGGTACAGTTCATCTATTGGAAAATTAATATATTGAGGGTTTTTTTGGTATTATTTCTGTGCAATAACTAAAAGAGCACCTCACTAGGTATGGACGTTGAAGATGCATTCAGTAGATGACTTTGATTTCTTCCTGTCTGTGCTGTGCACAGCCCGCGTGGCAACGCAGTTCCGCCACATCAGTTTCATGGCTTCACTTAAAACTCAGATGTCTAGATTAGCTAGGTTTTCAAATCACTAGGATGTAAAAGTAAACACATTTCTGACACACAAGCTATGTTCGAGTAACTGCTTTTCTCTAACAGCAGATATCTGATAGAGAGCTTTGAACTGCATATATTTCTAAAGCAATTGAAATTCAGTGCTACAAACAGAGGATTATAACTTCAGGAGAAGAATAAGCAGAAGGAGCAGATGAACTCTCAGGGCCATAGTCTTCCTTTGATCTTGTAAAACTCCCATTGACATCTGGAGTTCTCAGTCTGGTGAGAAAATAGACTATAAACTGAATGGAACAAAGATCCAATCCAATATTTTGGTGGAGACTTTAAAACCATATCATACAGGGACTCTCCTGTCGTCCAGAAAAACTGACATAAGGTACAGAATTATTCTTTATCAAATGTTTTTAGTTGGCTACTAGAAGTCTTTAAAAATATTGTTTGTATGGAAATGAAACTAAGTATTATTTTCTTTATCTAAATTAAGAAGTCTCTTGTTATTATGCTATTTATAATTTTTTTTCCAGTTCTTGTATTTTAAAAAATTGAATATTAATGGTATCAAAGTTTTCTTTTTTTTCTCCCCCTTTCCCCTCCAGGTCTTTTCTTAACAACAGTGAATTCACATGGAGTAATTTTAAAAAGACAACAATTTGCTATTCAAAGCAAATTATGCTCTAAAACCACTTTTAAAAATATGAGAAGGAAAACGGGATGAGATATGGGGTTGGGACTGCTGAATTTTTAAAGATTATTATTATTGGTTGATGTTAACATATTTCCTCTGCTTCTCAGAGGGTAAAAGTGTTGTTTTCAAATTGGCAAATGCACGCTTCAGAAATCCTTTCCTCTCTCATCCACATGGAGAGGTTAAAGGTTCGATTTCATGGGCTCTATGCAGGCAGTACTCTCACAGGATGCACGAGTATTACCTGCAAGGATAGCACGCAGTTGTGCAACCAAGACATATTCTTATTTCTCTTGCTTTTTTATAAGTGACCCTCTTATTGAATATGGGCTGAAATATAAATTTGAAAAACACGGTTGAAAAGGATGTACAACAGAAGGCTGTGTATGTATATACAGTATGTCAAAAAGCCTTTTATTTTTATACTTCAAATGCTCTAAATTAATAAAAAATAATAATTACTATGTTATCTTTTACTTTTTATTTTCAAAATGCTTTAGCAAACTAGCCCCACAGTAGAAGTATCTCATAGCAGTAATGAAGAACAGGTGTCATCTGGAATGTGCAGATATTTTTGTTGACCTTAGCTACTGAATTAACATTATGTTAGGATACAGACATAAAATCAAGATTGGTTATGTCAAGACCAAGGAGATATTTTTGGAGATACATGTTAATATAGTAATCTTTGGAAATGCTAAGAAGGTATTTCTATTTTGAAACATTTTCCCCTCCATCATTCATAATACTGTAGGCTACAGACTTCACAGCTGAAGCTGTCATTCAAAACTAATAAACTGGAAATATAGTTTTATTCTACACATTATTCCTAAGAATGTCACAGGTAGGAGCTCTGAACAAAGGTATTTGGATGCAAATACAGGTGGCACAGATGGGTCCAAGGAGTCCTTCCAATTTGCGATTTAACATGAAAATATTTCAGCAACAAAACTTGTCTTCAAAGAGAACTATATGAAGGAAAGTAGTTTAATATAATTTCATGTTTTCTCTTTGTAATAAAAGACTTCAGATATCATGATCTAAAAATACTGACTTAACAGCGTTTTAACATTCTTTTTAAAACAATGTTTAAAAATACCTGTTTAAACAAGTGTGAGATGTAAAGCAGAGTTAGGGAAATATAGCTGAGATATAAGAAAGCCAACAGATTTACATTTTAACATAGTACCCATAAAATTAAACATTTTTAAAAGGTCATTTTAGTATACTTTTAAAACATTTTCCTTGTGGTCTTTAAATATCATTTATGGACGAATTTAATTCCTTATGAAAACTGTTTAAATTTTGACTTAACTTTCTTTTTTTGCCCAGCCTTTGTTTGAATAATTCTTAAAGAACTGGCCACAGAATGATTTATTTTCAAGAATTTACTTTAAGCATTTCTAGACCTCTTAGAAAAAATAATGATTAATATAATGAATTTTCATTGTTAAGCAGTGTAAGAGGAATGTAGGTGACAAAATGTGTATATCACCTTTATGAAATATATTTGATATCTGTGCTATTTTTCTATATTCAGTTTACATACTTATTGCTTCACATTGTTTTTCTTCTCATGGTTTTTTGTATATGGCTAAAACTATTATCTCAAATTGTATGAAGATTATTTTTAAAGTATCAAAACAGGTTTTGTTCTTGAACAAACTTTTTCCCCTTTCGTGACTATATGCCCAGCTTAACCGATGGATAGTCTCTCTTCATGGTGTTGCATAGCAAATATCCATTATCTCAAGGGGGAAAACACTTCCTAGGCAATCACCAGTTCTCCTGAAGCCATGAATAGGTGTATTCATAAACCAGCAGCATCACTGCACCACCTAGAAAAGAATAGAGTTGGTTTTTATTGCAAATCCTGTGGAATAGCGTTGACTTTTCCACTGGGTTTCTGAATCCCCGATGTCCCACATAGCTTTCAGGCACGGGCTGCTTGGGAACATCAGTTCTCAAGCTCTAATACAAAGATATAAAACAATTGTGGAAACATTTCAGGGTAAAATTCAGACCATCTTGAGTCTCCAAATACATTTTTTCCCCATGAGTTTCATCATCAGATTCTTTTTCAGACATTTTAAATTTTAATCAATCAATTAATATAGTCATATTTAGTCATGTAAGGGCATGTGACTTCGCAGTGAACAGAAACCTTCAGATTCTTCATATGTAGGCAAAAGATTTATCTTTTTCAATCCACAGCTAGAATTGTCTTAATTGCATTCTGGAAAGAAATCTCTAAGATGGTGCTAGATGGATGAGTCTGGGTTTCTCTTACAGCTTTTGAATTGGATTGCAATGTGAAAAAATAGATTCTGAATATTTAAAAAATCTATCTTGCAGAACCTAACAAAAGGAGGTTGAAAGCTTACCTTCGTGCCTTTTGTCTGCTTCAGATATACATGGATTTGAACTTGAAAATTTGGTAGTGGGGGTTAAATGGCATGAAACCACCATTTGTCTTGGAAGAGAAGCGTTATATAACTGGCTACAAGGAGATTTGCTATGTAATATGTCAATGGAAAATGAAACAGAAAAACAGGCACTGAGGCTACTGAATACCTAGATGCTGGGAGAAGCATTTGTATTGTGAATCATTTTGTGTTCTATTTGATGCGCAGTAAATAGCATGTGTCCTGTGCCTTTTCGGATAACCTCTTTTTATCCTTTCATGTCTAACTGTGTGAAAACCATTACAAAATCAAAATTTGGACAAATATTCTGAATACAACTTAGGGAAGACTTGGCTGCATAATAGAAAGAAGATTGACTTCTGATGGAAAGAAACAGAACTTGATTTGGATCTTAGTTATTTTGAACACACTGCCATATGCTTTTTTTTTTTTTTTAATCTACGGGCTGCACATGTTTGTGTAACCATATACCAAAGATAATTATCTGCCTGTAATTTTCATTTTTAACCCATGAAGATACTCTATTAGGCCTCTTTCAGCTGCTGTAGCCCTCTCAGAACTCTGGAGAACAAAAAAAGCAGCACTGCAAAGGGTTGTTAATATGTATGTAATTGCTGCACTGACTCTTGTTAACTGTTCACAATGTAAAACAAGAATATGCAGAATTTGGTTCGTTTTTAGCTTAGTGAGATTCGGAGTTTAAACCACAGACTTCAAGATTCTTTCGGGGGCAGGAGGCAGTAGTACCTGACTGCTTGCCACAATGAGCTGCTAAGGCTGTTACACAAATAAGATGAGAATCTTCTCCAGAAAGAAAAAGAAAAATTCCAGACTGATCTTTCTTTTCTTTTTTGCTGTCTCTGACTCTCTCTCTGTCTCTCTTTTTAAACTCAAAAGTCTTCTAACTCAAAAGTCTTCTAACTCAAAAAGTAACTTCTACCTTTCTTTCCTTTGAAATTGCTGGGATTTGCACATACGGAATAAAGTGGAGGCCAGGTCCTTGAATGAGGTTTCTAGTTATTCACAGTTTGGTTTAGTCTGGACAGTAAGTTCCTAAGAATCCTTTTCATTAGGTTTAACACCCAGCAACTCAGGACCCCTCATGCAAAACATCTGAGAAGTCAACCAAACATTTACAAGCCTCTAACAAAACTTGGGGATAGATTATTTAAGAGTTTTGGATTAAGGTTCCAGTCAATTACCCTTTTAGCTAAACTCTCCCTTGTCACTACCCCTTTTAGGCCCATCTCCTTCTGGAAAGCTGGTTTAGAGTCATTGCTGTGATTTCCTCTAATATTAGGTTTACTAGCAGGTTTTTACTGTGTGGTAAAGGAAAAAACACCACATACTGGCAGAGATGTTCTTTATTTTGGGGTTAGTTTTTGCACACGGGCCAATGACTAACAGAAGGTAGGGCTGAATCTCAAATATGAGGCAAAATCTATGCTTAAAGGCCTTGAAAGGTTGAGATAAATGGCATGGGAATTGTGGAGATGTTTTCTAAATATATGAAAGTGTGAACTGTTCACCAGCTTCAATTTATAAACTGTTGTTCACTATCTTAGGTTAGTAGACATGCTGATTCATTGGGCTGAGATCTAAAGGTAAAAATGTACATGAGTGTGCAGTAGGGGAGGAAGACAGTGGTGTTAAAAGGGGGAACCTCTAAGGGACAGAAGAGGAGTAGGAGAAGGTTCTAGAAAAGATTATCAGGATATCTAAGTAGGTGAATGTGGCCCGGTTAAAAAAAAATGTGTGGTCTAGAGCATACTTTTGTACTTATTCACAAGGATACTTATAATCCAACACTATTTGCCCTGGCGGTTGAGTCTGCAGCAGTTATTTTCTTATCTATTTACATAGAGGCAGCTGACTCTCCCTGTGGGAACGGCAGCCAGTTTTTTGTGGGCTGGCGTCCTGAAGTAAGGCTCTGAGCCAGGAGCTTTCACTGTCATGCAACAGAGCCCAGCAGAGGTGAGCACCCAGCTGCGGCGTCACCACTCCTCAGAGGTGACTATGAAGACGAGTGGACCTTGCTGTTCGTGGAGGCAAGTTGTCCTCCTTTTCTCTTTCCTATATTTAGTTGAGGCAGGAGCAAGAATGAATTAGGAGCACAAGGAAATGTTTTCTCTCACTCCGTGAAAATCCTCCACTTTAGCCAGCAGCCACTGTCTATACCTCAGTTCTCACTCAACCTCCTACTGGCTGTGGATCCTTCCTATTGACTTAAGCTGAGCTTTGGCTTCTGTCAGCCTCCAGCAAGGACACAAATAGAACTTTATAAACAAAGGTAGAACATTTCAAATGGATGCCTTCAGTATCTCAAATGCTCAGGCAACTTTTTATTTTCAAGGTTTTCATCTTTCACAAAGTGGTAGGTTTAATTGTGTTGCTGATAGAGACAGAGAGAGAGAGAGAGAGAGAGAGAGAGAGAGAGAGAGAGCATAACAATAAAGAGAAAAGGATATAAACAATTAAAAACATCGTTACCTGGTCCAAGTCTCATAATCTTGGGAAGCAGGCCTTTGTACAAAGCTAAAATCCTATAACCAGAAGGGAAAAAGCAACATTATTACTCTGAAAATACATGGAGCTGGATCTCAACTTTATTGAGATGCTGACCCAATGTTTACAAAAAAACAAAAACAAAAAAACCCCAATTATTTGAAATTACACACATCCCAAACCAGGCAGCATCTGGCTTAGTATTCTCTTCAGCAAATTGGATGTGGGGAAAGAGTTAATCAATTCTTTATTACCCAAGCTATGTTGGTCCTGTCCAATCAGAAACATGACTTTCATCAACGAGATGGTTTTTGCTTTCAAGACAGGTCTTACTTTCAAGACAGCTGTGTATATGGACAAAATGACTTTTGTAATTGAATTTAAAAGACCACAAACTCAGTCTTTACATTAAGAAATATGATGCAGTATAGATCAAATAATAAAATATCACTTGTTTACTTGAGAATAAGACTTGGGTGAGGAGGGGTAAAGAGACAGAAAGTAAGACTTAAACTATAAGACCATCAGAAAAGAAACATATTTTACATTTTAAAAAGAAAACTATTTTTGTAGAACTCTTATTTCATTATCCCAGGAGAATATAATTAGGTGGCATTTTAATTAGATTTACAATCAGAAGACAATTATTCTCTTGCCCATATATTAATAGGATGTAAAATGTACAATAGCATACAATGCAAACTGACAAGCAAGGAGTTCATTTTAGGATCCAAGGCAAACATGCAGCGTATTGTGCCTCACAGCACCATTTGATGGTGTAAGAACACTTTTGCAACATCTCGATTGTGTTATCTTGCAAGGTTTGCCCTATATATTCCATGGAGCTTAGACACACACAACTTAAGAAGTTTTACAGGTTCTTACCAGAATAGAAGTACAATACAGTTTTAACAATACTTGAGGTTTGCACATTTATTAAAATAAGAATGCGTTACCCTTCTTCCTGATAGACTGTTGCCATTGTTTTAAAACAGGTTCTGTACTTGATCTCTCCAGGAACTGGCTGAGGCCCTTGAATCCTACTTTTGGCAACATCAAAAGGGATGTTAATGACTGAGGCTATTGTCCCTGAGAGAAGACCAATCCCAAATTTTCTCAAAAACTCCAAGGTTGGATCCTGAAAGAAAAGAAGAATAAAATAACAGAAAGGGGAGCGGAAGTCCCTACCTCGGTTTAACACTATAAAGCAATATGTATTTAAGCAGAGCATTGCACTCCCGGCACCCTCCTGTTATTCCAGCGGAACACATTAGGATTTCCTAGGCTGGAACTTGTTTTCTTGACAATCCCATTGGCTATGTTTTTACACATGGTCTAAATTGCTGAAGTACACATTTCCTCACACAGGATTTATAAACACAGTTCATAAAGAAAGACTGGTATGGCATATGGGGATGATTTGTATAATTGGGCTTCACAATGTACTTAGTATTACTGTATCAAAACAGGAGAAATCCAAGCACACTATTAGCTAATTGGCCAGAATATTTTACAAATGACAGCAACTTCCACCATGAAGCCTACTAAAATGCTCATTTGTGTGTGGACCCCCGAATGTTAAATTAAATCAAGGCTACTCTCGGTCTGCTGCTATTCCCCTGCCAGGTTTTTTGCATTTATTTTCACGTGTAGCTGATCCACTGTACTGAGAAGTGCTAGCTTCCTGTTATTAACAAACCAACTTGGGGCGGCTGCAAAACAGCCTGTGACATTCTGTGCATTATAAACAGTAGTAAGTCCTGGGACTAATTGGCTGAAGAATTTACAACCCATTGTTTCTGAATCTTATTCTTCCTCCATGGCAAAGGAAGAAAAGGAGAGAGAAAGACACAGAGAGGGAGAGAAATATTTCTTCTTTCCATTTGAATTCGGGCCCTTCATATTGGTCTGATTTGATTTTCCACCCTTCCCTGTTCTGCTTTCTGACATCAAAGTATTTAATTAGGTCTTATGTGGGAGTCACTTTTCTTCAGCCTATTTTTGTGCCCAGTGAGCTCACATTATGTTGTGTTATAATGAATTTGCTGGGAGGTTCTCATTATGTTTTCAGCCTCAATTCTATGTTTTCAGTCCTCAGTTCTCTGAAGAGAGGTCACATCTCATACCATAGGCTGCTGACTCAGACCCCCAACCCCATTCTTTCCTGTCTACTCTTTTGGTCAGTATTTCAGAGGGATCATCACAGAGGAACAATGCTGGGTTGTGTCATGACATTAGTTTATCCAATAGAAGAACTGAAATGGGGGAAGCATACCTCATTTTAGTTTAAAAAGAAAATTCAGGACTAAGCACTGCATACTTCTAGCTTCTATGAAAGAAGAAAACTTCGGGAAGTTCTGAATTTCTCAACTAAACCAAGAGCCAGTTACCATCACAGAAACTCCTATGTGGCTGAATATAAAAAGTGAGGGGTTTGGCAATAATTCTTGGATCTGGGCCATACAGGTGCCGAGGAGGTTTAAAGGGATTTGAAAACCAACAGGGTGTTTCAACAGGAAAAACAATGCAGTGATTGCAGTATGAGTGAGGTGTGTTTAAATAATTCCCTCTCCCCCCGTTTTTTCTCTTTTACAAGGAGAGAAAAATGCCTTTATGTTACTCTTCTCCATTATGGCACAGAAGCAAAACTGGAGCTCGGGAAGATGGCGAATCTGGGACCAGCTTTGATTGCCTGACCTCTGATGAGTCACTGAGTCACCCAAAGCCAGGGGTATAGAAGGGAACCCACCTTACTTAACACCTACCTTCCTTTTGTACTGTATCATTTTTCTGAGAAATAAAAGCAATAATAGAAATAAAAGGGTTGCAAGTGTTGTACAAGCCTGGCAGAAAAGGAATAGTATTGTTAGGCGGCCTGTTTTCTAAAGATGCAAAACAATCCGTAAAAAGATGCTCTCTTGGTGTCCTTGTGACATAGCCAAGCTCTCATTCTTTTCAATTAAGAGTAAGAGTGAAAGTGATGATTTGTATATACATTGTCCTTTTGGGAAGCTCAGGGGACCTCACTGATGTGTTTGCTGAGGATCAGAGTTGGGAATGGAGGGGGACCTAAGATGCTCACTGATGGTCATCCTACTTGAGACCTTGTGTTGGAGACCAAAAGCTAAGTTCTCCAGGCCACCCTAGTGTTCACTAGCAGTAGTATATGTTCAACTGTGTTTTAGTTACATTTCTCAGCACAATAGTAAGATTTCACAGTAGTTTCCAAATCCAACTGTGCCTCAGAATCACCCGGCAACTTTACAAAATTACAGATGCCTGGGCCCTACCTCAGACCCATCTCAGGGTCCCAGACAAGAATCTCCTGGGAAAATGCCTGAAAGTTGAAGGCTCTTTCAGGACATCTGAGGCTACCAGGCTGGGGGCCCAAGACTAGGAATCAGTGATTTTGATGTTCTACATAGGAAAAGCAGATGGTCAGTTGCTACCATCATGAGCACTTTATGGAGGAAAACATTTCACTTGGGATGGCCAAGGGGGTATCCCTTACTGCCTGACTTCTGGGCCCATAGTCAATCTCTTTCTTCTGACTCCACAGTCTGCTTTAATCTAGCATCTCAGGCTGGGCCTCTCAGCTTGTATCTACTTTCTTTGCAATGTGCTGCCAACCATTCTCAAATGGATGTAGCCTCTCAAAACACCTCTCCTCTTTGTCCCCTCATGGCCACTGTCACCTCTCTGGTTTTAGTTCAAGTTCTCATTACCATAACCAGGTCTTGCTTACCTCCTGCCCTCTATGGCCTATTCTCCACAGGGGTACCAGGTTCTCTTTTTATAAAAACAGATCTGCTCCCGGTATCTCCCTACTTAAAGATCCTCCATACGTCCCGGATATATACTCAAATATACTCAAGTATACTCAGATCTACCAAGCACTTTCCCAACTCCATGCCTTTCTTCAAATGACTCCTACAGCCTAGAATATCATTCTCCATCATATTCAATGACAGCAATCTCACTACGTCCCTTTAAGGTCCAGCTTAAATCCCACTCATCCAAGAAACTTCTATGCATCCCTTGTCAAAGCTAATTCCCCTCTCCTCTACTCCCGAGACACTATCTGGTCAGTTTTCACTCTTGCTAGGGCCCGGTTAATATTTGGTTTATTTATGCATGCACTTATTGTTTCTGTGGGATTGAGCTCACACAGCATAGGAGCATGTGTTGCTGCTCTCTGTGTCATCTTTTTTATGGTCTACACAGTAGGTGCTAAATAAATATTTGTTATTTATCAATGTACTTATTTATATGTGTAGAAACAATAAGAATTGGGCTTAATCCTTAATCACTCTTTCTCAAAACTCGTCTTCTAGGTTTGGAATAAACCCTTATTTCAACTTTATATTTCTGTCTATCAGGAGGCATTATCACAGGGTATGACAAGGCAGTGGGCATTGGGAAAGTGGTTTTGGGGTGGATGAATTGAACTCTCAGGTCACAGAGCCAGACCTGGGCTCACCAGACCCCATTGCTCAGTGATTTGCAGAAAACAACATGGTATGACAGCCTCTGAACCAGATTTTAGGGGGAAAAATAAATAATTGACATAGAAGAAGGTCTTGAACTACACCTCCTCTTCCGGTCTTTGTTCTTTTGTTTCTTAGTCTTTTCCTTAGTAGGTAGAGGCATCTACTTGCCTCAGAAAGAACAAGGATTGTTGTAGCAGGACTACAAAGAGAAAGAAAAGGATACTATTTAGTGTTTTTGGTTTCAAATTACAATCTTTTTTTTTTTTTGAGTTGGAGTCTCACTGTGTCGCCCAGACTGGAGTGCAGTGTTCACTCCTGGCCACCGCAGACTCGACTTGCTGGGCTCCAGCAATCCTTCCGCCTCAGCCTTCTAAGTAGCTGGAACTACAGACGCGCGCTACCATGCCCAGCTAATTTTTGATTTATTGTAGAGATGAGGTCTCGCCAAGTTGCCCAGGTGGGAATTGAACCCGCCGACTCAGGCAATCCACTCACCTCAGCCTCCCAAAGGCACGGGATTACAGGCTGAGCCACCGAGCCCGGTTCAAATTACAATCTTGATAATCATAATGGATGTCCTGGAGGGGAGGCATAGTCTTGGAGAAAACTGGTAGCAGGGACAAAATGTGTTGTTCACATGGAGAGAAGGTACTGGGAGCTCCACAGGTGGCTGTGGTGAGAGTCACTGCATGGAAACCATCTAATATATCAAATCCCTCCTTGGCAGTCTGGTGAACCTCCCTTAGAAGTGGCTCTCATGGCACCTGGAGAAGAGGGGCTTCAAAGTTGCTGTGGAATCAGGCCCAGGAATGACGCAGAGATAGATCCCCTAGTGCCCATGCTGATGGGGCCCGTTCATACTGCCCTGGTGGACAACTTCCTTGTCAGCAGCTCAGGACACTAGTGAGCTGGGGGCAGCAGTGATGGTGTAGAAGAGAACGCTCCAACCCTGGTCATTGGGTGAGGTTAGGTCATTATTTGTTACTTATTTGGAAACCTTCCTTTGAGGTGTCAAAGCAGTAGATATCCATGTGAGACAGTCGTGATAGCCCACCTTCATTCTGAGGGTTAAAACCCCAAGGCAGAGAGGGTTTGCATACCATTTTGGAGTTACCCTCGTAGGCAAGTGGTAGCACGAGGGGGAAAACAAATTCCTCAGGCAAGTATTCTTTACTGTTCTAACCAAGAAATAAAGGGTCCTTCACTTGGGAATCTGGGGCAGAGGAGACAATAAGCAATATCGAAAATCTTCCATTGAACCCAAGTGAGCTTTTGGGGGGGGGGTTGTGTGTGAGATAAGTGGAGATGACTGGTGGTCATGCTGAGATCAAGGGGTTCAGAGCTGAAGAAAGTCGAGTGGGGCTGGTCTGGCTCAGGAGTAGAGGCAAGGTGGGGCTGTTGCCTCTGCCCAACCCCGGTTAATTCTGCCGCTGCCCTTAGAAGCTCTTGAATAGCAACCACGCAGCATCCAGGACAGCCAGTTACGCCATCTTCAGTTCTAGCGCCCCGCCCCCAGCAGCCCAAGACCCTATATTCCCAGCCTCTTTCTTGGCCTCCTCCCTTCCCACAAACATCACTCCAGTTAAGCAACATCCCATCCTCGGCTCACAAAAAAGGTAACAATTTTAATAATATCAAACATTTAAGT